AAAGATATATATATATATATATATATATATATATATATATATATATATGATGCATATATGTATGTATGTATATATATATATGAATACAAATTTAAAAATCATAGAAATTAGAAATTTAATACTTCAAACATAAATTACTAGGGTGGGCACAAGACATAAAGGTATGACCACAAAGCTTAGCTGTGGATCATAGAAGGGACAGGTTGGAAGGATTGAGGCCAGAATAAAGTACCTGAATACTATCAAATGAATAGGACAAAATTGTCCTCTAACCAAACCTGCTTTCTCATATGTATTGCTACCATCTTGCGGAGTCATTTATCAGTCTACCCAGCATACACTTTATCTGCAAGAAAGCTGTGCTTTTCCTGTGATGAGATCCATTTGTCATTGTGGTGGACTGTTCCTGGATCCTGAAGGGAATGAGTATCCAAGTGACAAATCTGCTGGCTCTTAGATGAACCTGTGCAATCTCTCCTTCTGTTGAAATGTTCTTAATTCTACTAAAATTAATCCTTCTGGTGCTGTGTGTGCTTACAAACTGCTGTCATCTCAGCATATGGAAAGACAAGAGAGGAAGATTAAAGCAAGAGATTATCTCAGAAAAGACAGTCTTCTGTATCATGCCTTCTAGATTTTTCACTACTAATAGATAAAGATTTATTTATATGTATTTTGTGCTGTACAACACTTTCTAAAATTGATTTTTATCTCTTTTAGAAGCCATATTATTTTCAAACACTTTTCAGTTAGTATTTGCTTTGTTTTATTAAAAGATCTAGATCAAGTATGAAGTTTTTGAAAACCTTCCAATTTGTCCCTTATGTTTTTCTGGATTTTGTTTTTTCTCAATAGAAGTACAAAACCCACTTCCATTGAATTTCTCTTATGGTATAATTCTAATTATGTAATTGTCTGTTTACCATTGTTCCTGCAAATTCATGAATAACTCACTCCTCTGGCCTAAATCAAGATAAAGAAAAAGTTTCCCAAGATATTTTGACTCCATCCAGTTCTACTGTTTTATACTTAATGATGATCCTCTTAAAGGTCTTCTGTCTCGCAATATTTTGCCATTTAAAATCTCACATCACCAATACCTGTCAACATAAGATGACTTGTGCCCCATTAATTCTTTTGAATTTTACTCATGATGGCTTCAGAGTTTTCTTTCAACTCTAATTCAACATAACAATACTGAAGACACATTAATTAATGATGGTGACAATAATATTAATAGAAGGAGGTATTATGACATTAGGTAAAATTATTAAATCAACAGTAAAGTCAAAACATATGCTAGAATGCACAAAGGAAATTTTAAAAGGTGTATGTGGGGCATGTGGTACAAGTACGATGCTTGCAAGAGAGAAGAACAAGGTGTACTGTTAGAATAGGATTAGCAGCTGTTCACCAGAAACACACACAGATCATAATCACAAAAAAACAAGAGCATACTTGTGAAATCACAATGTTAAGCTAATGTATCATTACACACAGTAAGGACTACCTATAGTCTTGGTATTATTTCATTCCATACAAATTGCTAAAGAAAAGAAAGAGCAACTCCTTGATGAAGTATTTTATATTAAAGTGTGGAGGTTAGTTATCATTGACTCAATAATCTTCATATCCAAAGGGTCATGACCTAGGGAGTCATGATGTCCAAGTGGTCTAAGGCACCAGTATCAAGCTCATCTTCTAAAGGGCATGATAGTGTTCTGACTACATCTCAAAACTCCAGAAAACAGAAATGTGATCAATCACCAAAAATCATCAATCAGGCAAAAGCCTTTCACAGACTTTCATTTTGATGCTAATATAATAAAGTATAGATAACGTTTCTGGAATCCATGTCAAATACATTTATGTTTTGTACAAATACTATAAATTTAACTATTGCCAATAATACAAATATAAAACATGGGTTTATTTTCCTTTTCATAAAATGTTCCTGCCTTATTATCTGTTAATCATGATTGATTAAAAATCATTTTTTTATTATTTTTCTGTTTTGACAATCTTTTCTCCAGCAATTTCTGAATAACTTTCTCAAGAAATCAGGGCAATATTATGAATCACTATTCATAATTTTTCCCATCACTATCTGCAGTATCAGACAGCAGAGTAAAAGATGACATCGTCAACCTCATTAAATTATACCAATTTCAGAGACATCTGGTACACCATGATTGGGATCCCAGGACTAGAAGACACACACATTTGGCTCTCCATCCCCATCTGTTCAATGTACATAGTAGCTGTTGTAGGCAATACATCCCTAATATTGCTGATATCCACTGAGCGTAGTCTTCATGAACCCATGTACTTTTTCCTTTCAATGTTGGCCCTGGCAGATATCTTCCTGTCCACAGTGACCATTCCAAAGGTATTAGCAATATTCTGGTTCCAGGCTGGTGGCATTTCTTTTGCTAGCTGCGTGTCCCAGATGTTTTTTCTCCACTTTGTCTTTGTGACAGAGTCTGGTATATTGTTATCCATGGCATTTGACCGTTATGTTGCCATCTGCTATCCACTAAGATATATCAACATTCTAACCCCATCTGTCATCAGAAAAATGGGCACTGCATCTGTGACTAGAAGCTTCTTCATATGCTTTCCCCTGATCTTCCTTGTTTATCGGCTCACCTACTGTGGGAGGAAGATCATTCATCACTCCTACTGTGAACACATGGGCATTGCCAGGTTGGCCTGTGACAGCATCAAGGTCAATATTTACTATGGGATTGTTGTAGCTTTATTTTCCATATGCCTAGATGTGGTACTGATCATTGTCTCATATATCCTTATACTTTGTGCTGTGTTTAGAATTCCTTCTCGAGATGCCCAACTCAAGGCTTTG